CAGATCTAAAGCGCAGTTTGAGAAACTCTATGCACGAAGGATGTTCAAGAACGAATACCAGCCTGGAGAGCTTGTTCTAGTGCGGAATACTCAGGTTGAGAAAGAGCTGGATCGTAAAGCAAAGCCTCGTTACAATGGCCCTTATGAAGTTGTGCGACGTACTAAAGGAGGATCGTATGTTCTAAAAGAAATGGATGGATCAGTATCACGAAGAGGAATTGCAGCATTTTGCCTACTTCCCTATTTCAACCGCCACTCTATGCCCCTCTTGGACGAACTGGATGACCATGATAACGACCTAGATGAACCAGAAAATGAACCTGACTATGAGCATAACGACTCAGATGATGAAGATAATGATTAATGACTTACCTGAACGAATTTTATGCTGACATGACCCTTTAATGTGTTGCCATGTTTCATTCCCTATGACCCTACCTTTATGGAAGCAACTGGGGACAGTTGCAATTTCAAGTTGTCCGTGGATGTCATGCACCAAAGTTGATTGGTAGCATGGACAGGTGTCAATAACGAAGCGAATATTCAAAAAAACTCGCCTTTGCGCCACACAGGCACAGTGCCACGTGGAATAGTAATTAATATTGCCCTTTTTGAACTTGTGGCTGATCAGCACCACCTCTATTAGGCAATCCAGTCACGCTCACCTTTGCTTTTCCATCCGGTACTTTCCGCGTTTCGGCATTTCGGCAAATTTTCGCGTCGCCACTGGCTACACATTGCATTGTGCCCTCGCTTTTGTCGTTTCCCTTACTCCCCTTCCTTTGCCTAGCCCCACCATGGGCCCCTTCCTCTCCTTTTTATTCTCACCTGACGGTCGTTTCTGGGTCCCCATTCTAATCCACTTGTTTGTCACCTCCACCCTCCTCCTCCTCATCTTATTTGCACCCCCACCATTTCTGATGTCACCACTTCCTATCCGCTTCCGTCGCCAATCCGTTGACTACCACGTGCCACTGCTGATATCAGCAAAGCCCCGGCGGCCGGTTCAAATAGGGCAACAGGTCCATCTTCATGACGTCGATCTGCCATCATATACTATCAAAACATCGGTCGCTCGTCTTGCCTGGTTGGAGCGTGGGTGGGTAGTTTTTGAGCTGGAGAAGGTTCATCCCCTTGCGTCGCCCATGTTCATCGCTGTCCCATTCACTTGGGTACACTTATCATTTGTCCATCGTCTTCGCTACAGCTACACCTACCACACGCTGCCTGGGACTCACTTGTTCCAAATTGGAACTACTCCTCTCCCTCCCTCGTTTGATCAGGTGGTCCAACACAACCAGTCCATTGGTAAGGCCATGGAACTATCAGATTTGGACTAGGTGGTGGACCGGTGGCTCCAGTTTCTTTTTCTTCAGCAGAACATTCATTTACAGTGCGATTATTTTTGATTTTTGAATCATTTTTATGGACACATATTTTTTAGAATGCCTGACTGACAATAAAGGAACTGTGTTGATACTGATAGTGTTTTGCCTTGCCCTTTTTTTTACTGCATCTTCCCATGACATCATGATTTTCCTGCTCTCCTTTTGCTATTGGACTTTACTTTATGGCTGTACAAACCTGTGACATTACTCACAGCATTTATTGTTCTATCCCTTTCTTTTCCTTTTTTTGACAATCTTATCCTGTACTACCTACGCAGGATTCGTCAGCGTACATTCCTTCCTTCATATTCTTTCTCATTCTTTTTGCACAGCTATACTGTGCATAGCCTACTTTTCTTTTACTATATAAACCCCTGTATTTTACCTTGTAAAAACAGAACAAGAACTCCAATCCAGACTTCTTCTCTAATCCTAAGTCCACTTCTTACTGCTACTTGTGATCCAGAGTGGTCACAACACTTCCCACTTCTACCACTGTTAACTGCTGTCATCGTCACTCGTCACTTTTTGAAAGTGATTGTCATCCCCTTCGATTAGAGTCCTTCTGAGCACTACAGTTTGTGCGTCAGGAGCCTGCTATCACTGGGAACCTCATCATATTGTCGTTCTCAAACCTACCTCGTGCTACGATTAGCAAGGTAGTGCTCGTCTATACTTGTCACAAAGCCCCTATCCTTCTATAAATTCAACTATCCCTCCTCCTCAAAACCCACACTCATACACCTCTGGGTTTTACTTTGAAGGATCTTTATACGTACCACCCCACGAACAACCAGACCACTCCACTGTTCTAGGAGGCAAAGCCCATAAACAAGTTCCGTGGAATCTGGGAGGATTGTGTGTTAGTTTGTTTTGTGTGTGGTTTTCTAACAACAGTTCTCATCATCGACATCGTACATGGAACAAAACTTTTGATCGCAAGCTCCAGGAGCTCGGTTTCACAAGACTAAATGCAGAAACATGTCTCTATGTATTCCGGGACAACAAACAAATATACTTTGTTGTTGTCTATGTAGATGACCTCCTCCTAGGAGCTTCATCCCGAAAATTCATGGATATCACAAAAGCCAAACTTGAATCCATATTCAAAATGCGGGACCTTGGAGAAGCAAAATACATCCTCGGAATAGAAATCCAACGTGATTGTTCAAACAAAACAATATCCCTATTGCAACACCAATACATTGACACAGTCCTGGAGCGTACTGGAATGAAGAACTGCAAACCTGTATGGACACCAATGGCCCATGGATCAAAACTCCTTGCAAATGCTACAGGGGAAGATATTGTGCAACACGAGATGCATATTGAAGGGTGTCAAGTGTCATACCTCTCAATTGTAGGCTCCCTCATGTATGCCATGCTCGGAACCCGCCCAGACATTGCCTACGTCGTTGGAATACTAAGCAGGCATAGCTCAGCTCCAAGGAGCCATCACTGGGAAGCTGCAAAATGTGTCCTCCAATATCTGAAAGAAACCAGGGACATGGAACTACAATATGATGGCACAGATGTCTCCATGGACATGGATTTCTATGGATATTCAGATGCAGATTGGTCTGGAGACCCAGACACGTCACGATCAACATCAGGGTTTGTCTTTATCACCATCCGAGGAGCAATTTCCTGGACAAGCAAAAGACAAAACATGGTAGCTTTATCCTCCACAGAGTCAGAGTACATTGGATTGAGCAATGCTGGACAACACCTTGCATGGCTTCGGACATTTTTTGAAGAAATTGGACATGCTCAAAATGGACCTACAACATTGCACTGTGACAATCAAGCAGCTATCATTCTTACACGAGATCCACAGTTCCATTGTCGATGATGAGAACTGTTGTTAGAAAACCACACACAAAAACAAACTAACACACAATCCTCCCAGATTCCACGGAACTTGTTTATGGGCTTTGCCTCCTAGAACAGTGGAGTGGTCTGGTTGTTCATGGGGTGGTACGTATAAAGATCCTTCAAAGTAAAACCCAGAGGTGTATGAGTGTGGGTTTTGAGGAGGAGGGATAGTTGGAATATAGAAAGATAGGGGCTGTTAGTTTTGGTGATTCTGCACCTTTGTGCTACCTATATATTTTCATTCCTTTCTCTATCTATTCTTCTATCATTCACTATTGATTGTGTTCTCTATTATTTCGCCTTTGTGGCTGCTTTGTTTACCTTTGTTTACAAAACTTCGGACAGTATTGCAGAGTCCAATGCTTCCTATTCTCTAGTTACTCACATTGGACTCTAGGTACTGTATACCTGTCATACTCTCTAATAATACAGTTACTCACATTGGACTCTAGTTCCAGTCCCTGATTGCTCTCAGCAAGTGGCTAGACACTTCCTTCAAGCTTTGTTCTTAATAGGTTATGAGCCCTGTGCTCTAGCCATCTTCCTGACCTCATATCTCACCATCCAAGCATCCTACTGCTTATCCATCGTAACCATTGTCTTCTGGGACTCTCATTATCTCATCCATCACCTCAGATTACTCTGATCTCATCTTGATCTCCAACAACAACTCCTTGTTGCAAGTTACCCCCATTTCGGACGCTTTTTTTTTGGTCTTATCTGCACCATATCTCGCCCAATCCTTATCTGATCACCCTGTAACTTCTACCATCGTCTTCTACGGCCTAAATAACCCTAGGAGACCTGTCAGAGCGGTTGGATTTGAGCTGGATCTTTCTGTGAGCCTTCATCATCATTTGATCACCTTTTGGCCCCCTATTCCATATCTCCACATCCTGTGTTCGGATCTTGGCCTTATTTGAGCCATCTACTACCCTATACTATTGCACTTTACACCGTCAATTTGGGGGCAATCCATCCACTCCATCATCCTCTGTGAAGTTCGCATTTTTGGCACTTTCACCCCTATTGGACTCCTATTGCATATCTCCACATCCTGTGCTTCACTTCTTGTGATATTTGGGCCATCTATTACTCTATAAAAACGTTCCCTATACCTCTGATTTGGTGGCAATCCATCCATCTTATCTGTCTCTGCATCAATTTCGACTTTTTGCCCTATTTTTCGCTTTTTGGCATATCTGGTGTGTGCATAAAGCTCCAATCTTCTCTACTCTGTCCATTATCAGATAGAACAAGCCTATAGACTGTGAAGCTCGCCTGCATTGCCTCAGTTTGCTGTTGCCTAGAGCCTCTCTCAGTCTGCGGTGTTTGGGGAGCTTAAGTCACTTTGTTGACTCATATACAAGCCCTATTAACCAACACTGTCTCGAGGCGATTTCTCTGTTAATATCAGTGTGGAATTGAAAGGGGAACACAGGCGTAACCCTGTAGCAGCACTAGGAAGCCTTAGCACCCTCCTGGATCGCTTTTGGACACTTTTTGGACACTTTTTGGACCTATCCTTGCGCTTTCTGACCCTCTCCATATCCTCTCTCTACCGCCTCACCATCTTATCTGCTCGCCTCCTACTGTTGCCCATTGTCTTTGCCACTATTCCATCGCCTATAGCCGTCTCCTACATCATTTATCATTGCTCTATTGTCTTATACAACACCCATCATGTCTGACTCTGATCCCAAGTTCCATCCCTTGTCTGGCACTAACTACCCCCAGTGGAGTGGTGAAATGCAAGCTTGGTTGATGACCAAGGGACTGTGGAGGCTCGTCTCTGGCGCTGAAAAGTGTCCTGGGACTGACACTGAAGCAATAGAGAAATGGGAGTTGAGAGCTGAAAAGGCTGCTGGTGCATTATATCTCAATGTCACCAAAGAGCAGCGCATCCATCTTGATGGCATCATTGATGATCCTGTCAAGATCTGGGAGAAACTGGCAATTGTGCACGTCTCTAAGAAGCCTGGGACGAGATTTAATGCCTATGACGACTTCTTCTCTATCAGAAAGAAGGAGGACGAGTCCCTGCAGTCTCTCATGACCAGAATTGACGAAGGCATGCATCAGATTCAAAATCTTCGTCCTACTGGCTTCTCATTGTCTGAATTAGACGATGAATTGACATGCATGGCCATGATTAGGGCACTTCCTGATCAATATGCCCACTTCACTTCATCTCTACTACTTCTGGGCACCTTGGACAAGACCCAGCTCAGGGATGCTTTCCTTGCTGAAGAGGTCAATCGCCGTCGTCGTGCTGAAGTCAATTCTGCCTTGCATTCTTCGTCTACCACTGCCAATAGCACCTGCACCCATCCTAACTGCCATCATTGCAACCAATCCACCACCTCTACTCGCGTTCAGTGTGATTTCTGTGGTTTACTTGGTCATACCCAAGACAAATGCCACAGATACATTGCTAGTCACCAACAGGCAGTGGAGGGTGCTAAGAATCGCTACAAGCGTGGCAATAAGGCTCAGGCAGGCTCCAGCAACTCTCAGAATACCTCTCAGCAGCCCAAATCTTCGCCCAACAATGCCAATTCATCTACTGTGGTCACTGAATCAGCTGGGAATGCAAGTCTTCGTTCCATTCATCCCTCTGATCCTCATTGCCCTCTCCAACTTGATGCTGACATTGATTGGAATGCAGACACAGGCGCCACTTCTCATATGACACCTCATCGTCATTGGATGCACCACTATACCCCATATCGTGTGCCAATCAAGCTGGCTGATCACACTGTTGTCTATTCAGCTGGTGTTGGTACTGTGGTGTTTAATCCTGTGATGAATGGCAAAGTGGCTAGGGCTGTGGAATTCTCTAGAGTGCTCCATGTACCAGATCTTCGAAATAATCTCCTCTCAGTCTTGTATTTAACTCGTCAAAGTGGTTTCAATGTCACTATTTCATCTCATTCCATGTCCTTTATGCGTGACAACACTCTCTTGTTCACTGCAACTATCAATGACAACAATGCAGCATTCCTTGATGGATCTACTGCTGCTTGTGTTGAATTGGGACATTTTACTGCGACTATACCACTTGATTTGATGCTCTGGCATCGCAGATTGGCTCACCACCATCATGCTGATGTCAAGAGACTGATACAGAGAGATCTGGTCACTGGGCTTACACTGGAATCCAAGGCTGCTCCTGATCCTGTCTGTGAACCGTGCTTGTCTGGCAAGATGCATGCCAATCCATTCCCCTCATCTGATACTCGCTCTGCTCATCCTTTGGACCTCATCCATTCTGATGTACACCAAGTCTCTTCCCCCACATTCTCTGGTTATCGCTACTGGGTCACCTTCATTGACGATCACAGTCGATTCCGTGTTGTTGTGCCTCTCAAGGCCAAGTCAGATGTCTTTGATGCTTTCAAGAGATTCAAGGCTTATGCTGAGACTCAATTGGAGCGTAAAATCAAGGCTCTGCGCGATGACAAAGGAGGAGAGTACATGTCCAAGGAATTTGAGCAATTCACAGATGATCATGGGATTGTCAGACAGCATACCACCAGGAATCGTCCTCAGCAGAATGGTGTGGCAGAGCGAGCAAACAGACTTCTGACTGAGCGTATCACTGCCATGTTATCAGAGTCTGCATTGCCTAACAGCTTCTGGGGTGAATGTCTGTCCGCTTTGGTGCATGTCTGGAACAGGTGTCCCACTGATGCAGTGGCCCATGCCACTCCATTTGAGTTGTGGTATGGACGCAAGCCTGACATGTCTCACCTTCGCATTTGGGGCTGCACTGCCTATGTGCATGTGCAAAAGGACAAAAGAGGCGTCTTTGGCTCTCATATGGAGAAATGTGTGTTCATTGGTTACCCTGAGGGATACAAGGGATGGAAATTCTACAATCCTACCACCAAGCACACTGTTATCTCTGAGAGAGCTGATTTTGATGAGCGCTACTTCCCTGGCTTGAAGAGGTCTTCTGACAATGTCCCGCCTCCACCTCCCACTCCACCTTCGCTATCCATGCCATTGGGCCTGATTGAGGATGTCCCTGCACCTGGTCCAGGGGGAGATATGGGCCCACCAGCTGCGCTTCAGCAGCCTCAACCATTGCCTGACAATGGGCCTCATTTGGACCTTGATGCAAAACCACCTGTGAATCAACCTCCTGAGCTTCCAAATCACCCTCCTCATCGCTCACCTTCTCCTGACTTGCCTATTGCACTGAGACGCCCTGTAAGGGCTAGGAGACCACCTAGACCATGGTGGCTTCAACACAGACAACCTACTCCTGCCATTGAGAGTGATGACAGTGATTCTGAGGCAGTTGATGATGAAGTGGCACACTTTGGAGACTCTGCTGAGCCTAGGTCATTTGCAGATGCAATGAAGCGTCCTGATGCAGATAAATGGAGAGAGGCAGCCATGGAAGAGCTTCAAGCTCATGAGCGCAATGGTACTTGGTCACTAGTGGAACTACCTCCTGGAGTCAAGGCTATTGGTGGCAAGTGGGTCTTCAAGATCAAGCGCAACTCAGATGGCACTGTTGAGCGCTACAAGGCCAGATATGTGGCCAAAGGTTATAACCAGCGCCCTGGCTTTGATTTCCTCGAAATATTTGCACCTACTGTCCGCATATCATCCATCAGAGTTGTCCTTGCCATTGCAGCCATCCACAACCTCCATTTGCGCTCCATTGACATTTCCCATGCATTCCTGAATGGAGTCATGGATGTCAAGGTCTACATGCATCAGCCAGAGGGATTCCATCAGGGTCCTCGCAATCTTGTTTGCCAGTTGGACAAGGCCATCTATGGGACAAAGCAGGGAGGCAGAATGTGGAACCAGAAGATGCACACTGTGCTTGAAAAACTCGGATTCAAGCGTACTTATTCAGACTCTGCCATCTATGTCTTTAACAGAGCTGATGTGCGCATTATCCTGCCTGTCTTTGTTGATGACATGACACTGGCATCCACTTCTACTTCTGCACTTGACCAAGCTGTCAAGGACCTCTCCCTGCACTTTAAGCTTCGTGATCTTGGCCCTACTTCTTACCTACTTGGCATTTCCATCACTAGAGACCTAAGTAATTGCACCATCTCCCTCTCCTAACATCAGTACACTCTGGACATTCTGGAGCGCTTTGGCATGAAGGACTGCAAGCCTGTGTCCACTCCCATGGATCCTGGTTTGCGCCTCACCAAGGACATGTCTCCCAAAACATCCAGTGATGCTGCTTTGATGAAGGACATTCCCTACCTTGCTGCTGTTGGTGCTCTGATGTATCTGGCCACTACCACTCGTCCTGACATTGCCTACACTGTTGGAGTCCTTGCCAGATATAACTCTAATCCTGGTCTTACTCACTGGAGCGCTGTTAAGCACTTGTTCCGCTACTTGCAAGGCACCCTTGATCATTCCCTTGTCCTTGGTCCTGATCCCAATTCCACTGAACTCTTCACCACTTTCTCTGATGCTGATCATGGTGGTGACAAGGACTCTGGTCGTTCTACTGGTGCCTATATTGTCAAGATGGGATCTGGTGCTGTCTCCTGGAGCTCCAAGCTTCAGAACATTGTTGCTCTGTCCACCACTGAAGCAGAATATATTGCTGCTGTTGAGGCTGGCAAAGAGATTTGCTGGATGCGAAATTTGTTGAAGGAAATGGGCTATCCTATCACCTCTCCTTCCACCCTTCATATTGACAACCAATCTGCCATCTCTGTATCCAAGAACCCTGAGCACCATGGTCGGATGAAACACCTTGATCTGCGATGGCATTGGTTGAGAGATGTTGTTGACTCTGGGCAGATTGCTCCTACCTTTGTTCCCACTGCTGAAATGCCTGCAGACTTGTTGACCAAGGCTCTTGCCAAGCCTAAAGTGGAAGTGTTCAGGAAGATGATGGGACTTATTAGATCAGGGGGGAGCTGATGCTTGGGAGGTGCAGCATCAGGGGGGAGTGTTAGTTTTGGTGATTCTGCACCTTTGTGCTACCTATATATTTTCATTCCTTTCTCTATCTATTCTTCTATCATTCACTATTGATTGTGTTCTCTATTATTTCGCCTTTGTGGCTGCTTTGTTTACCTTTGTTTACAAAACTTCGGACAGTATTGCAGAGTCCAATGCTTCCTATTCTCTAGTTACTCACATTGGACTCTAGGTACTGTATACCTGTCATACTCTCTAATAATACAGTTACTCACATTGGACTCTAGTTCCAGTCCCTGATTGCTCTCAGCAAGTGGCTAGACACTTCCTTCAAGCTTTGTTCTTAATAGGGGCTTGGTGACGAGTATAGATGAGCACTACCTTGCTAATTGTAGCACAAGGTAGGTTTGAGAACCACAAGGATGACGAGGTGACGAGGTTCCCAGTGATAGCAGGCTCCTGACGCACAAACTGTAGTGCTCAGAAGGACTTTAATCAAAAGGGATGACAATGACTTCAAAAATGGGAAGTGATGATGACAGCAGTTAACAGTGGTAGAAGTGGGAAGTGTTGTGACCACACTGGATCACAAGTAGCAGAGAGTAGTGAACTTGAGAGTAGAGAAGAAGTCTGGATTGGAGTTCTTGTTGTTTTTTTATTTTTTACAAGGTAAAATACAGGGGTTTATATAGTAAAAGAAAAGTAGGCTATGCACAGTATAGCTGTGCAAAAAGAATGAGAAAGAATATGAAGGAAGGAATGTACGCTGACGAATCCTGCGTAGGTAGTACAGGATAAGATTGTCAAAAAAAGGAAAAGAAAGGGATAGAACAATAAATGCTGTGAGTAATGTCACAGGTTTGTACAGCCATAAAGTAAAGTCCAATAGCAAAAAGAGAGCAGGAAAATCATGATGTCATGGGAAGATGCAGTAAAAAAAAGGGCAAGGCAAAACACTATCAGTATCAACACAGTTCCTTTATTGTCAGTCAGGCATTCTAAAAAATATGTGTCCATAAAAATGATTCAAAAATCAAAAATAATCGCACTGTAAATGAATGTTCTGCTGAAGAAAAAGAAACTGGAGCCACCGGTCCACCACCTAGTCCAAATCTGATAGTTCCATGGCCTTACCAATGGACTGGTTGTGTTGGACCACCTGATCAAACGAGGGAGGGAGAGGAGTAGTTCCAATTTGGAACAAGTGAGTCCCAGGCAGCGTGTGGTAGGTGTAGCTGTAGCGAAGACGATGGACAAATGATAAGTGTACCC